CCACCCCCACACCGAGAGGATCCAGTACCCCCATAGTACAACGTAGCTCATCTATAGTACCATTTGACACGACTGCAGTACAATCTGGTGCATCCACCGTATAACCCGGTGCTGTCATAGGGCCACCCGATCCCTCCCTAGCATAATTCAGTTTCCCTTCAACAGGATCCAGCTCCATCTATGATAGACCCGGGCTACATCGAGAGGTATAAGAGACTTAATTCATCTACTTTTGTAGGAGCATCCACTTTTGAAAAAGCTGAGTACTGGTTAGCAGAGATAGAGAAGACCTCTTTGACTATTATGGTGGTTCCTAAACAAAAGATTATCCTCATTACTTACATACTCGTAGGTGAGGCAAGACATTAGTGGCAACTTAAGTAGGCTACTTTACCCACTCCCGTCACTTGGGAATAACTTTTGGCAGCCTTCAATGCTGAGTATCTTTCGGAACACCTCCGACACCTAAAAGAAATAGAGTTTGGACACTTGGTATTGGGAGATTTGTCAGTATCAAAGTATGCTAAAAAATTCCTAGAGTTAGGCTAGTACTTCCCTATGAGCATGAGAAATGAAGGTAGGAAGACAAGAAGGTTCAAATGTGGTCTTCATCGTGAGATGAGACAACAACTGTATGTTTTTGAGCTTGACACTTATTTAGCACTCTTGGCCAAGACACAGTTAATAGAGAGGAACTTTTGTATTTTTTCCTCAATAGCGGGCAACTCTAGGTCCTCAGTTCTGCATCGTATGCCAACACTTACTGCACTGAACCAGCAGAACAAGAGACCAAGACCTGCAACTCAGGCTCCTCTCTGGTCCCCGATAACAGGACGCGCAAGACTTGCTAATACTATGAAAAAGATCATGGAGACTGACCTTGTTATTGCTTCAACAACACCTGTCACATAGTCCAACATTATGCAAGAGAGTGCCTGCGCAATCAGAATCAGACCAGACCCGCAGTTCAGGGTAGAGTCTACACGCTAACCCAACAAGATTCTGAAGCCAACCCAAATATAATACAAGGTACGTGTACTATCTGCAATCACCTTGCACATGTTTTGATTGATACTGGTGCTTCACATTCTTTTATCTCATATGCTTTTACAAAAAAATTAAATGTGTTACCTTAAAGTCTTAATTTTGTATTGTTCGTGTCTATACTTGGGAACGAAATATTATTAGAAAATGTTATATACAAAGCTTGTATCATAGAGATAGCACGTATGAAATTGAGTGTAGATCTAATAGCGCTTGACATGAGAGATTTTGATGTAATTATAGGAATGAAATGGTTAGCAACGTATCACACTACTGTGGACTGTTTCCACAAGAAGCTGGTATTCAACATTCCACTTCACGAATTAATAAAATTTTAGATATTATTAATATATAGTAACTG